CCCCTCTTTGAAATATCCCTTCTTCATCATGAAAAAAAAGCAGAAAAGCAAACGCATTTCCAGGACACGGTGGAGTTTTAAAACCCTGCAGTATAAATGTACCCTCTGGTAGAAAACAACTCGCACTTTAAAAAGCCAGCTTGGGAGGAAGGAAGTGTCTTTGCATGCTGCCTCTATCTAGCTCGCACTTTAAAAAGCCATCTGGGGAGGAAGGAAGAGTCTTTGCATGCTGCCTCTATCCCTCCCAGCAAAACCTTTCACCTACCCCTGTGGAATGAGGAGTAACGGTAGTTCGAACTAGGAAGCCTAGTTCAAACTACCTAGTTCGTGCCCCGTGTAGCCACGCGGCACGGGGTTCGAACGAGTGGGGATTTAAAAATGGCGGAGCCCCTCTTATGCAAATGAAGCCCGGGAAATTCAAATCCCGGGCTTCATTTGCAATTGCGGTATGCCTACATTACCCTCCTATTTCGAATTAGGAGGGTAGTGTAGACATACCCTCCCAGACCCTGCACCCCATCCTCTTCCCATCCCCCAGGCCGGAACCCTCTATTGCACACATACACCCTCCTGGACTGTGCACCTAAGCCTCTGCCCTAGATCACAGCCCTCTCCTTCGCCCAAACTCTCTCTCAGAACCCCTCACCCTCTCCTGTACACCAGTCCACTAACTCAAGTGCCCATCTGCACAGCTTCACAAGTGATTAATCCCTGCAAGGAGCCCTGAGCCTCTGACTGGGCGGGGCTGATTAATCACCTATGAACATTGGTCCCCTCCTCCCATTTACTTCCTCCATCTTCTGAAACAATAGCTTGCCCACAATGCTTTCCAAGAAATCCCTGGACATTTTGTGTTTTGGCTTCTAACTTTTCCAACAGATTTCTAGGTACTTAAAGTCCCCATTATTACCAGATCTTTTGTTTTTGAAATTTCTGTAATTTATTCTAGAAATCCCTCATCTACCTTCTCTCCCATCATGTTTCCCTGGGTTGCTTTTCATCCTTTAACTTTCACCCAGAGACTTTAAACTGGTCTGTGTCTCACCTCATCTGGGGAAGAGGGCTTTGGACAAGGAATGAAATGGGGGCATGATGGAACAGGGGCTGGGCTTAGGGGAAGGGATGGACTGTGGGCAGGTGGGGGCAGAGCAGAGGCAGGATGTGGCATGCAGCGGGGGCATTACTCCAGGCCCCACAACCCTTAGAGATGGCCCTGCTGGGAGTGCAGCCTCTGGATTGAAGTGGTTTCCATCATATGCAGGGTTTACAGTTTGGCTCAATGTCACTTAGCATTGCCACTATTCTAATTGTTCCAGCACCTCTGTCCACAGGAGTATCAGGTCAGGTTGGCAGATGGATGCCTCCCTCTCTCTCAAAAGAGATCCCTCAACCACCCACACCCTGCATCCCTTGGGTGTGATGGTTGTGAATCTCCCAGCCTTGAACAGGCAGGAGGTTCTTCCTCATCATGGTTCTTAGTGTTTATTACAGAGGGGAAAATTCTTTCCCCGTGTAAACTGGCACTTTTATTTTGTTAATGCTTAGTTTATGCAGTAAGTTTAACTGGCTGACAAAAGGATGCATGGAGTTGAAGGCCAGCAGGAACCAGGACGATCTAGTCTGAATAGCATAACACCAGCCATAAAAACTCATCTAGTAATTTCTGATGTGAGCTGGTGTCTTGCTCAGTTCTCAAGCACCCTTGAAAAGACATCATCATCTAAGCCTGAAGTCACATATTCTAAGTATATAGAGAAACTACCTGTGTTTATGGAGCAAACTTTAATCTTCATCTCAATGTGGTAACATTTTGTAGGTAATTGAAACGGAACTTTTTTCCTCACAAAAGAAAAATATATGTTGTGGTAATTTTAAATTTCACAATTTTCCATTAACATTTTTGGCTTGCCAACAGAAACCATCAGCATGATTTATGCTTAATATTATTATGTTTGGGGGCATGTTTTTTTCCCAATGGTTATTAAAAAGGAGGAAAAGTAAGATAATTTTTTATGGAACCTTTTTTTCAAATAGCTCTAAATAATCCACTACCTTCACCTCACTGTAATGGTCTTAACTAGGAAAATAAATAGTCACAAATAGTATTTGCAAGTATTTCAGGTCTTTCCATTTCATTTCAGCTATGTTCACATCACACTTGTTTGCTTTTTGCAAATATTCATATTCAGATAATCATAGAATACTAGAACTGGAAGGGACCTCAGTTGGGGGCCACATAAGTGAGGGTATTTTTGTTTGTTTCTCACTTAATGTGCGACCCCCTGACTGATTTTTCTGTGGGTCAGCGAACCCGACCCAAAACAGATTTCCCACCCCTTTTATAAGGGAACTATGCTGAAGCCCGAGAGTGGTAGATGAGCTATTAGTTTGAAGATTTGTTTGGACTTTTATTTTGACTTGTTTGTGCTCCCTTGGAATGGGATGAGATGCTTGTGACTTGGCTGACCACACCACAGACCACCCAGCAGGGGAATTGAGAGAAGTCTGAGAGAGAGCACAGTCGAGGGTGTTAGATATGAGGACCCCTGCAATGCTATGCCCAGGCATGAGGGGGTGCCCTAGAGGTAAGTTCACATGCTTAGAGTGATCAGTCCCATCATTTTACTAGCCACTTGTCCATCCGGACGGCTGGATTACAAATCAAAGCAATTTGTGGAACAGAGTGCTATTCAGCATGAATAAGGGGAGTAAATTCTGGCCCTAATGAAAGAATGCTCAATACAGACAGTTGGTGAACAACTTATAGGTTGGACTTTTTATGTGTGGCATTAGCCAGATGTGTCTCTGTCCCCCTTTACTGGCTAAATTATGTAAAGATCCTTGAGTTTGCCACTGTCCCCAAACTAATCAATCCACATAAATGTGTTGGTTCCTGCGCAGATGACACATCCAGACATGGTGTTATATTAGCAAAAACTAAATGCCTCTGATTTCAGTTTTTGCAGCCTGATTGCCATTAGCCTCAGTTTATATAGTAAAGATACTAGTAGCTTTTACAGAGATACTGAAGCTTTCTTAACACGGATACCTCCTTATTGAGATATACTGAACTCTTCCTTATTTGGGTTTGCAAGCTTATTAATAAGTGATCTCTTACAATACAGCCTCCATACAGCTTCTGCATTGCACTCTGAGTCGATTGAGTTCCGTTATTGAGACTTCCTTTCCTTCTCAAAACCACCCAAGCTGGCACATACACAGTGTACAGGTGCAGGCTGCCATTTACGAGTTTTGCTCAATTGGTTTTGCTGGCTGCAGCTGGGGGCTGGATCACAGGCTGGAATTCCTGTGTCAGTGACCAAAATGCTTCTAACAGCTGTCTCATTTTCACAGGCATTCTGGACTTCTTTTAAATGGCTATTTCCCCCACCTTCCCTCTTAAAATGCAATTTAATATGGTCATATAAAATCACACTGTGGGCAAGAAGAGTATTTTACATCTTCAAGAGCAATTATTTACCTTCATGGATTAAATCAATGGCTGTTGCTGGGTGTTCAGACTTCTTAAAACCAGGCCACTTAGACTATGTCTCCACTTGCTACTCCGGAGATCAATCTTCTCGTGTTCGATTTAGTGGGTCTTGTAAAGACCTGCTAAATCAAATGCTGAGGGTGCTCACTGGTCAGTGCCTGTACTCCTCGATTTGTGAGGAATTAGGGAAGCCTATGAGAGCAAATGCTCCCATCAACCTTGTGCTGTGAAGATGGCGCCAAACTTTCTTTTCTTGTCATAGGACCCTCAGAGACACAGTACCTCTTTTGCCAGAGTATGCAGAGTGACAGCCTCAGCAGCATGAAGAAAAAGTAGTTGGTGTGACACTGTGCCCCCTTTTTTATGGAAATGTGTTTTTTGATTACAAATATGCTTAACTTTAATATGCTTTATGCAAAATGGGGCAAGTAATTAATCATTCAAGATCTTGTAATCCTCTGAATGTGTATATTCTACTTGTGTGAATGTGTCTTTCCTGTATGTGAAGTTGGAAATATGAAGTATAGACCTGTTTATTAATCTGGGTATTCTAGTGAAAGCCATAAGTGGTACTTAAGGGACTTAATGGCCCAGTATTCAAACAAAGATCTGTGAACAGTCTTCTTTTTCCTTTAAGTCTAAACTGAGGTTGGCCCTACAAAGACATGTGACCATGCCACTGGGTGCTGGAATCCATCTTGAATTTGGTATTTTCCACAGGGGTAGGAGAAATAGTACAAAGACTTCCTTCCTTGGGGAAATTCTATTTAAGCAATGGAAAGCAAACAGTGATTGTCTTCAGCTGGCTTTACAGACTGCTTCCTGCTTCAGGGCACATGTGAAAGGACCTGGAAAGAAAAGAACTCTAATGACGGGAGAAGCTGTTAGACTGGGGTCAGAAAAAAGATCAGCTCTGGACTGAAGAATTTTCTCTGGAATGAGAACTAGGGTGAGTAAGTATGATTGGTAAAAACTTATCTTAGGGTATGTCTGCACTAGCCACCCTAGTTCGAACTAGGGTGGCTAATGTGGGCATTTGAACTTGCAAATGAAGCCCGGAATTTAAATATCCCGGGCTTTATTTGCATGTTCCCGGGCGCCGCCATTTTTAAATGCCCCGTAGTTCAATCTCCCTGCCCGCAGCTACACGTGGCATGGACTAGGTAGTTCGAATTAAAGCTCCTAATTCAAACTACTGTTACTCCTCATTTGCAAGTTTGAATGCCTACATTAGCCACCCTAGTTCGAACTAGGGTGGCAGTGTAGACATACCCCTAGGGACCAAAATTCCAATTAAACCCTTTGAAAACCCCAACCTAAAGAGCAAAATGCACTTGTTGTGGCCAAACAACAAATAAGTTGGGTATGTTAGCCAGCTGCAACTACTTGAAGGCTGTAAATGTCTGGGAAGGAACAGAATTAGTTACAATCAAAAAGGTAGGTTGGTTGGTTTGCTGGTTTCTAAAATGGACTATAGAGGGCCTAACCACACTGCTGGAAAGACAGTGAGCAAAAGAACACATAGGCCTAGTTATCAAGAGATGGTAAGAGCTATTAGACTAGGGAATAATTTCCTGAAATAAAACTGTAGAAGGTACTCAAGACACGCCTATACTGTAGTGAGCTGTCTACACTGGCCCTTTTGTGCAAATGCTTTGCGCAAAAGGGACTTTTGCCTGAACGGGAGCAGAATAGTATTTCTGCAAGAAGCACTGATTTCTTACAGAAGGAAGTCAGTGCTTTTGTGGAAATTCAAGCAGCCAGTGTAGACTGCTGGCAAGTTTTTCCAGAAAAGTGGCTGATTTTCCGGAAAAACTGGCCAGTCTAGACACAGCCAAGGAAACTGACAAACCTCAACTGGCAAGAGGAATGCACTAAATAATCAAATAAGTCTTTCCTGCCTCTGATTTCTCTGTTTTCCAAACTGCTTAAATAAAAATATCACTCTTCCCTGAATATATGAAGGTATCAGCTTAGGACTGGAAAATGCATAAGATGGACAGTGGATATGAGAACCTTGTTCACTATACACACAATGCTAGTTGTAGGGTGTTAGCATTTCCACTCCTAAGCTGGAAACCAAAATGGTTAAAGCAATACAAGCCCTTGATTGCCTATACACAACATTATAGTGGTTTAGCTAAAGGTCTCTTTTGAGTTTGGGGGAGTAGGGCTTGTCTCTCCTCTTATACATTTAGGCTACGTCTAGACTGGCATGATTTTCCAGAAATGCTTTTAACGGAAAAGTTTTCCGTTAAAAGCATTTTCGGAAAAGTGCGTCTAGATTGGCACGGACGCTTTTCCACAAAAGCACTTTTTGCGGACAAGCGTCCGTGGCCAATCTAGATGCGCTTTTGTGCAAAAAAAGCCCTGATCGCCATTTTCGCGATCGGGGCTTTTTTGCGGAAAACAAATCTCAGCTGTCTACACTGGCCCTTTTGCGCAAAAGTTTTGCGCAAAAGGGACTTTTGCCCGAATGGGAGCAGCATAGTATTTCTGCAAAAAGCACTGATTTCTTACAGTAGGAAGTCAGTGCTTTTGTGGAAATTCAAGCGGCCAGTGTAGACGGCTGGCAAGTTTTTCTGGAAAAGTGGCTGATTTTCCGGAAAAACTGGCCAGTCTAGACACAACCTTAGAGCATAAGATCTCTGAGGCAGTGGCCATATTTTTGTTATATGTCTGTACTGTGCAAACGCAGTGGGGCTGAGGCTTCTCTTTGCTATTGGAATACAAATACAATCTGATGCTTATTTATAATGTTCCTTTGTGCAGTGACCTTGGATGTCTGTAAAGCACCATGCTCTTCCATGGAATTAGATAAGCCATTATTAATAATAATGCTGGGGGGGGGGTTTAGCACTTGTGAGTTGTAACCAAATAAAATTGTTAGCCCAGCTAGTCCAGTGTAAGACATTCTTTGTGCACAGAGAGCTGACCTATCATAGGTTTGGTACAAGTGTCAATCAAAGATCTGATTTGGGGTTTGTAAGTGTGTACTTAGGTGCCAGCTCCTTAATCAAGTTCACAAAGTCTGTTTTCTCTATGCATGCTCGGCACACTTCTCCCCAGCTATCCAGAATCTTCCTGAGCTCAGCCACTCTCATCTTGGAGAGATCCACCAAGTTTAAGTCCAGTTTCTTTTCTGCAAAAAGAATGTGAAACATACTTTAGAGACCACGTAAGAGTTCATATTTGTCTTCAATTCTTCTGTGCTGCCAAAGAAAAAAATTCCAGTTCCCACAAATGCTCCAGAGGGGTCTCCTATAAGTCAGGTGATAACTGAATGAGGGACAATAAGAGGGCCAGATCATCACCTACTCCTGGTCTACACTAGGGGATAAGTTCAAATTCAAATAGTCAACTTCAGCTAGGTTAATTGTGTAGCTTAAGTCTAAGTGTCTTAACTCAAATTTTGGTGCCGTCCACACTGTGGGAAGTTGAAGGGAGCATACTCGCCTTTTGACTTCCCGTACTCCTTGTAGAAGAAGGACTACTGGCATTGATGGGAGCACTCTCTCAGTTTGAATTAGCGTGTCTTCACTAGACCCGCTAATTCAAACCACGGAAGATCGACTATGGCTGCTTCGATCTTATTTGTATTGCAGACATGGCCCTATTGTAAATCTGCATAGCTCACCTGAAAAAACAATAGAATTATGCTGATTTATTCTAGCTGAGGAAATGGCCAATAAAGTCTGATTCTGAGCTCATTAACGTGCTAGTATAAAAGTGGAAACTCCATCGACTTCAGTGAAGTTACTCCTGATTTACTCCCATGCAAAGATTGATCACAAATACAATACCAAATTTGGTATACAGCTTCCTCTTAGCATAACTTAAAGCACCATAAAGGTTTGGTTGTGCCAAGAAAACGGGATGTGCCTGGAATGGGATTGCTTCTCATAAAGCCAAACAGAAAAGAGACAGATTCACCAAATCAAGTGCACTCCTCAATATTGACATAACTCAGCAAATGTTGAAAGAGACAGAACCAAGATGAGCCAAAAAAATAGGTGAACCTGGAATAAGATTGTGTCTCAGTAAACCTTACAGAAAAGAGATAAAAGAGAGACATTTGGAGAAATGCTCTGTTTTGGTGCAGCTAAATCAATTCTTAAGGTTTGAAAACAAGACGACAATTTGACTATGGACCTTTTTTGTTAATACATAGCAAATTATAAAAGTTTATAGTGACGAAGAAAAAATACATGATGGAATTCCTATTTTTAAAAAATTACTAAAAATATTAAACAGACAAATGTTAAAAATCCCTTTTTTAAGAAATCTAAAATAAAAATTAGCTTCATAAAAATAACACTGTATTTTTTTAAAAAATACAATCATTTAAATAAAGCATGTGCATTTTCTTTTTATTTTCAAAAAATAATTGAGTTAAGGGCCTACGCAACACTAGGAAGTCTACTAATTTATACATGAATAAGAAGAAAAAAGAAAACAGACCTATTTATTTTCCTTTCTACGTCCCATTTTAGAATGGCTAGAGATGTGATACGTAGGCAAGAGTCAATGGGGAAATATGGGTATAACTAGGTAAAAAATACAATTAGATCTCTAGGCCCACTCACTAGCTCCAGACTTTAGCCCTACCATATTTGAGCTCACAGATCTGAATGTCATTCTTCTTCAGTTTCTCACATATCTTCGACACAGGCACATGAGCACTCATTGGGCGGCTGACCTCGCTGATGATCTTTGTGGCTGCATCGCTTGTTGCCCCAATGTAATAGCACTGAAACAAGCAGGACACGTTGTCAGCACTACAACAAAATACCTCCAACTCCCACTGAAGTTGATAGTATTTAAGGATGCTTATTTCCTTGATGGATTGTACTACTTGGCGAATGGGGCACTATGCACTGTGAAAATGGTTAGGTAGCTGGTGTGCTCAGGTCACTGCCCATCATGCTGTTTGGTTGCTTCCTTGTGCTCCCCAATCGGTCTGTATCCATCTGATCGCTGGTTTTACATTTAGATTGCAGGCTTTTGGGGGCAGAAACAGTCTTTTTGTTCTGGGTTTGTTCAGTACCTAGCACAGTAGGGTAACACGCTGCTAGGTAGTGCAGATACTACAATAATACAAATAATGACAAAATCTGGCTCTGGGGGGTTAACAAAGCAAGAGAGACCATCGTGAAATCATCGTGTGGCCATGTAGAGTGTGTGTGTGTGTGTGTGTGATTTAACAGTATTTAATGAACTGAAAACAAAATGGCTGCCAGTCAGTGTCAGATTTATGCACGAGCTAAGTAATCAGTGTTGACTGGTGAGAGGGGAAAGAGGGGCACGAGCCCCACTTTTCCCTGCGTCTTTGCTCCACCTTCCCCGCCTCTTCCCAGTACTCCCCGGGGTGGCGCAGCTGGGGAGTGGTGCTGTGTGGGCTGGAGCTGCCTGGCCTGAGCCTTCCCTGCCCCCACTGCCAGTGAGCTTCTTCTGCAGTTCAGAGCACCCCCCTTCCAAAATGGAGGGTGGCCCTTGGTTTCTGAGGGCTCAGCCTGCATCCTTGCACAATGCCTGCTCTTCTTCTTACTCAAGGCTGTGCAGCACAGTAATACTGAGAAGCACCTACCACAGGCTTGGGGGGGGGGGGAAAGAGGGGCGGGAGTCTCCCTCCAAATGTAGGCCTCTGATTAGTAGAGTTACCAGGTAAGTTTAGAAGAAATACCGGACACACTTGATGGGGGGGGAGACCGGCCAGGAGGGGGGATCGGGGGCATCACGGCTGGCCGCGGGAGATGGGCGGAGGGGTGGGGGCAGCGAGGCTGTCTTGGGGAGATCAGGAGGAGAACCGGCCAGCAGGACGCAGGGGTGGCCGGGAGGGGGTCGGGGGCAGTGAAGCTGGTCGGGAAGGGTCGGGGGAAGCGGGGGGTGGAGGGAGGGACTGACCCGGGCATGTGCAGATCCCGGGGTGCTGTCAGGTCCGGAGAAGTGCGAGTGAGTCCGGCTGCGGCTCCACCACGCTCTCAGGAGCAGGGACAGGGCTTCTCCTCCTCCCCAAGGCATCACACGCAGCCAAGGCTCCCCGCGCCGATCGCGCCCCACCTCCTAGCCACTCCCCTAGCCCATTGCACATGTCTGGTATTTTCTGGATTTTTTTACCAGACAGAGGGCCCAAAAACTGGACTGTCCAGTAGAATACCGGACACCTGGCAACACTACTAGTGCTAATTGTAGTAGTGCATGTGGGGTTCCATCCAATTCCAAGTGAATGAATGGAAAGATTCCCATTCATTACAAGAGTATTGAATCAGGGTCTTAATAATATGGACTCTATACCCCTGAAATTAAACTGAAACTCCAAACTTATTTTATATAAGCTAGCACTTAGTAACATTTTCAGCCACTGTTGATGTAGCTGGATTTTAACCAGTGCCTTCCAGCTCAATACTAAATGACAGTGCAGATGAAGCAATATTATTTTATCAAAGAACCAGCTAATCAGTATTTTTTTTCAAAGCATCATGAACTCAAAGACAAAAGAGACTAGCAGTACCAGGCGTTGTTCTTTTCCTTTTGTATCCATACAGCTGGTGATCAGTTCTTTCTCTATGGTGGCCATGCTGAAGTCAGAATGTTTGTCTTTTAAGGAGTTGTAAAATCTGTCCAAAAATCCTTTACACACTGCAATAAGAAAATAAAATACATAAGCCACCCAGAAGGATCTAGCAAAGCCTAAGGAATTTTAATAAGTTGTCTACAGACAGGGATCCATTAGTACTTCATAAAAACAGAAAATGACAGATTTTAACAAATGAGGAATTCTAAAAAATAAACTTTTATTTCAGCTTTTTAGCTTCCAGTATTGCCAATGACAGCTTTATACGTAGGAATGGAATTCATCCTGTCAGCTCTGGAGGTTTTCCCTTAAGTATTTTATTATAACAGGAGATCAGAATACATTGGCATTTTGACCTTGGTTCAATTAAGCCAACCTCAACTAGAAAATTTAATTATGTTTAATCACCATGTAAGAAAAATCTGTTTAGATGAGACGATATTGCCCATGAATGACTGGCTAGGGAAGACAAGGAAAAGTTGTTGTGTTCTGTCCATTTTAAGTGCTTGCCTGGCCCCCTTTACCATAGTATCAGATTGCCCTCTCTAATGCATTTATTCTCCCAACACCTCTGAGCTATGTAAGTGCTGTTTTCCCTATTTTATGAATGGCACAGAAAAAAACTAAATGGCTTGCATAAAGTCAAGCAAGAAATGTATGTGGCAGAACAGGCATTTGAACTTGGGCTTCCAAGCTAGCACTCTACCTGCTAGATAAGAACCCTGATCACAGTTAAGTTCACCTGTGGCTAGTTGACAAGGAATTTCAAGAGGTCACCAAGTCCACCCCTCGATGATGAGGCAGGACCAAGTAAGCCTAGACCATCCCTGCCTTCTCCTTTTTTATATGGACCAGTCAGCATTGCATCAGGTGATTCAATTGGTAAAACGGCTGGTTTAAACATGGTTACAGTTCCTAGTGAGAACAAGATCATACACAATTAAATTCACCTGGTGTCAAAGGCCCATCTAAGGTCCATACATTAAGGTGTTTTTCTTGCATATTCTAGGTTAAGAGGATCTTTGGCACCATGACAGCATTCTGTGGCAGAGTGGTCCTACTACCCCTGTCCCAGGAAAGGAGCAGTGAAGGTGGGTCCTCCAGGCCTGCCTGGAGTGTCTATAGTGAAGCAGCCAATCAAAGCCCAGCAGGCTCAAATAAAAGGAGCCCTCAGGGCTTAGTAGCTCAGTGCCTGACTAGGACTACGGAGGTGAGGAAGGGGGTTAAGCTGGGTGAAAGAGGACCTGAGAACTCCACTGCTGAGGTAAGGGGTGAAGATAGAGGGGCTAGTTGGGAAGATGCTGAGGGAAGTAGCAGCAACCTGTGAAAGGAATCACTATGTAGCTGCCATTTCTAGAGTGCCTAGGCTAGGACTAGAGTAATGGGTAGGTGGGCCAATGTTCTTCTACTGGCAAAGGAATTAATCCTCAAGAATGAGCCATAGCTCGTTTAAAACCCCCAGAGAGAGGCTAAATTTCAAGGCCCCAGAGCTAAAGTCCTGCATGGGGCTGGGAGAGAGAAAGAGATTTTCTTGGTTATCCTGGAAGAGGGCCCTTTTTGACTGTGATACAGAGGGCTCTAGGAGCAGCAAAAAGCATGCAATACCACACACAACAGCAGGAGGTGCTCAAGAGATGAATGCTGCATGTTCCAACTTGAAACCAGAAATGGGGTGTGACTCCCACCCTCCCATTACAGAAGGAGGTTGATGAAGAGTAATGCTTAGGCCCATCTCAAGCGTGAGATGTCTGATATCCCAAATATGCATATGGAGGGCCAACAGTTGCAGGAAGACCAGCTCTCTGTGTGTGATATCTAGAGATGAGATGGCTGCTGCAGACACCAAAAATGGGGAAGGCATGGGGATTGTCCAATTGTGTACACTGACTACAGGCACGTGGGGTATGTAGACTGAGTGTGTATCTAGAGGAACGACCACTGTAAAAGACCCAATTGTTCAGATTATGTAACGAACTGGGGATAAAATGCTGTGCACCAAGGTAGTGGGACTCAGACTACCTTGTAAAGAACTGTGGGAACCAAGTTTTGGGCAAGAAAATGTGAGGCCAGAGAGGTCTTCTGGGCCACGTAGAAGGCTACTGTCCTGCCAAAATGTGGCAGTTTGGACAGAGCGACTGTAACCTTGGGACAGCTGAAGTCCACCAAAAAAGGTGCACACTGCGAATCAAGAAAACAGACTCTTGAGTATAAACCTACGTGGAGAAGGAGCGTAGTCACAGGTGCACTAGCCCACGTATTTAGGATCCAGCCTCACCCACTCCTAATCTTGGCTCTGCTCCCACCCGGACATGGGGGCTTGCCTTTCTCCATCCAATGCTATAGCCAGGCCTGGAGAATGGAGTTGGAAGCCAGCCCTGCTCACTGGCCTGGTGTTCCTGCCAGGGAATGGAGTTGGGGGCTTGTAAGCTCCCAATCTTGCTATGTGTCTGGAGCACTAGAGCTGGGGCAAGCCCCAGCAGACCAACCCCGCAACCTGTCTTGAGCACCAAGCAGCCAGAGTGGGGGCAGCATCCCAGGCAGACAGAACAGGACAAGCCTCAACCCTGCTCCCTGATGGGAGCATCAGCTGGGAGAGGGGCAAATCCTAGCACCCCGACCCAGCTCCCTATTGGCAGCACTAGCCAGAATAGGGAAATCCCCCACATCTTGACCCCATTCAGAGCCCCAAGAGTGGGGGACAGAGCAGGGCAAAGTGCCACACCTGATCCTCCTGCTGGGAGCACCAGGTGGGGGTAGCAGGGCAAGTCTCTAATTTCCCACCTCACCAGTAGCGTCCCGCAGGCAGAATGAAGCAAGCCCTATGGGCCGGTTGGGGAGTGCAAGGCATACATCTTTATGGGACCCCCATTTTTATGAGCCCCTGGCCAGTGTGTGTATCCCTCCTTACCCATGGCCAACTGGGGGGGGGAGGGGTTGGCTCCATCATTGCCTGCCCACCTGATGTCAGGGCTCACCTACTTGTCCCATCCTGGCTATGCCACTGATATCAACAGCCACCAGTCGGGAGACTGTTGGCTGCGTCTAGACTAGCAAGGTTTTCTGCAAAAGCAGCTGCTTTTGCAGAAAAACTTGCCAGCTGTCTACACTGGCCGCTTGAATTTCTGCAAGAACACTGATGATCTCATGTAAGATTGTCAGTGTTCTTGCGGAAATACTATGCTGCTCCCATTTGGGCAAAAGTCCTCTTACGCAAATGCTTTTGTGGAAGAGGGCCAGTGTAGACAACGCAGTATTGTTTTGTGCAAAAAAGCCCTGATCGTGAAAATGGCGATAGGGGCTTTCTTGCGCAAAACCGCGTCTAGATTGGCACAGACGCTTTTCCGCAAAAAGTGCTTTTGCGGAAAAGCGTCCATGCCAATCTAGATGCTCTTTTCCGCAAATGCTTTTAACAAAAAAACTTTTCTGTTACAAGCATTTATGGAAAATCATGCCAGTCTAGACATAGCTGTTGAGTATAAAGGTCGCTGTAATGGCAGTAGCCTTGACAGCTACCCAACAAATCCAACCCTTACTGGAATGGAGAAAAGTAGAAGATGGGGTCAAAGAGGAAGTAAGGAGCAGGGTTAAGGACTTGCAAGAACTCTAAGAGATGCACTCCTCAGCAGACAGGCTCTTAGCTCAGGCTGCACTGTAGGAACAGGAACTGATTTCCCCCATCATTTCATGAGTTAAAAGTATTTGAATGTGCCAAGTCCTAGCTAAGGTTGCCAACTTTCCCAACTGGATGCATCAGATACTATTCACAGCAATGGCAGACAGTCTGCGAGCATTGGCAACTCAATGACTCCTGGCATTGCCAGTTACTACCCTGGAGGAAAATCCAGTTGAAAATGTTCATTGGGTTCCAGTTAACTAAGGGTCCAGTTCAACAAAACAGCCCTATTCAGTAAAGCCCTTGCTTAAAGTTCAATATGTGCCCCAATTGGGGCATAGGTTTGGAACAGAGCAATCAGTTCTGGAGCAGTTGATCCTCCAGTCTTAACTACAAGAGGCCAGCAGAACTATGGAATGATTTTAATGGAGTCTATTGCAGTTTCCACTAGGATAAACTGGGGAACATGCTGCTTATTTGTCCTTTTGTTTTACTAATGTGAAGTGCATGTGTAATTTTCTTTGCACCATCCTCACATCTACCGCTGTGGATAATCCAGTGTGTGCATGAATATGATGATTAGCTTTTTTTTAAACAGTAACTTGTCCAAAGATCTAGCTATCCAGTTTGAAAATATAGAAGATAAGTTGATAGCTTTGTTTAATTAGCCTCTGCGTTCTTTCCCAGATTGAAGAGTTAGGCAGGGAGATGCTGACTGAATGGAGCAAATGAAGGGAGTTAGTCATTGATTATTTTATTCATTGCAGGTACTGTTAACAAGCAAACAAAATCAGCTGGACTCACTGGTCAGTTATCCCAAGATTGTTTGGTGCAGGAAAGCAACTTGTCTAGCAGACAGTAATTTAATGACTCATTACAGGCCTGAATTTTGGTTACCTTTGCTTGTCAGGTAATAGAATTTTTCCAGCTTGGCAACGCAAAATTAGTGATTTAATGTATTATAAAGGAGGTGTGGTTATCCATGGCTATCCGTGTCTTTTCAAAGAGAAAGAAGAAAAGCAGCAACTCGGCTCTTGGACAACAAGAAGGGGAATTTTATAGGTTACATAAAAAGCATCTAACACAAAATCCAGTCATATTGGTTTAATAAAGCCTTACAACTTTACTGCAACATCACCAAGCTGCCTAACAGTCTCCCAGTTGCAAGAGTTACTGGGTGGTAATTGTATGATACGTTCATGCCACCTACAGGAAATAACACATCCTTTCAAAAGGTCTTGCTTATAAAACTTTGCATTAATACTTTTAAAAAAATGCTGTTGTGCAAGATTGATGGTCTAGCCTCATCAGACAAAACTCACAAAAAATCCTATTCAAGTTATAATTAATTAACCAAAATATTTAAGTAAACTATTTATCTAATGACAAGTTTTATATATGAAATAATTTAATAGTCATGTCCACTATCTGTGTCCCAGCTACCACGACTGT